GCCGGGCGGCGGGTGTGGCCAGGGGAGCGCGGGCGGGCGGGACGAGACGGGCTCAGTCATTTCCTCTTGGGTTTCCTGGCTTCAGAGCCCGGGGTGGGAGCAGGAGGGGGAGCCGCTGAGGGAGAGGACGAGGGGCAGGGGTGAGAGGCAGGCCTGTGGCCTCCACCCAGCCAGCCTGGGAGGGTGGGGACGGGGAGCAGGGGCCGCAGGTCTTGGCTCGGAGGGGCTCCGTTAGGGAAGAGAGAGGAGGGGTCTGGAATGTGGGCCGGGGTGGGGGAGAAGGGAAGGCCCTGCCATCTGGAGGTGTGGAGGGTGGGGAAGGGAAACTCGAGGGGTGTGAGATAGGAGGGGAGGCCCTCGGGGCGCTGGGGGAGGGGAAGGAGAGCCCACTCCGGGAATCCCAGGTCCGTGCTGCGGCACCCACCCCACGTGTCCCCACAGATGAGAACACACAAACAGAACGGGGGGAAAAACCAAATGCACATTTATTAAGCTCAAGACATGGACACCGAGGGGGCGGGGGAGGGATCTTCGGGAGGAGACGAGGGGGTGCAGGGAAGCAGTACACGGGGATTCTGGGGGGCCGGGGGCGGACTCCCGGATCCCAGGAGCTGGAGGCCTGAGTCCCTGGGTCTGGGATGCAGACGGGCTCTTTGGGGGATCGTCATTGCCAAGGCCTGGGGAGGGACAGCAGGGTGCAGCGGCTCCAGCCTTGGGGTGGGTGGGGCGGCTCATTCGGGGGAGCACTCCCCGGCGCAAGGCTGGGGTCCCCCCCGCCTCCACCCGGTCCTCAGGCTCCCGCGCTCAGGCAGGTACAGCAGCGGAGATTTCCGGCAGGTTTTACACGCCGCCACCGCCAGGGGCTGGGGAGAGAGGAGCGGGTGTCAGCCAGCAGAAGAGTGGGAGCAGCCCTCCTCTGGCAACCAATGGGCTCTGGGTCCCCCATGGACAGGGACGCCAGGCCTCCAGGGGTGTCATCCTTGAGCTCACGCTGCCACCCCACACCCTAGTGACTGGTCCAGTCCACCTTCCTGGCTGCTGTTCTGCCCCACGTAGTGCTGTCACCTGTGGTAGGCTCAGCAACCCCAGGCCCATCCGGCCTTCTCTGGGGCATTCCCCTGCCAGAAAGGGAGTCCTCACCCCCTTCCTCCACCCCAGTCTTGCCCTACACCCCCAACCTTCCCTGTACCGGTGTATCCTGAATAGGTAGACAGAACAGGAATTCCCCCATTCCCCTCCCACTCAGGACTCTCATTCAGTGGGATGGGCCAGGGTCCTGGACATACGCTTAAACTGTAGCCAGGGACCAGAGCCCAACACCCCGCCCTCATCATCCACTCACCACCCCATGAATGTTTCTAAATCTCATTTTTAAAACATGCAACAAAACACATGTCATTTCACATCAAATTCCCCAAAACAGCGAGTATGCTCAAACCCCTCCCTCGTTTTTTTCTTTGTTGTTGTTGTTGTTTTCAGTTATAAGAAAGTTTTAAGAGTCAAAGAGAGTCCCATCTCTGATTTTTAAGTCCCTGGAAGGATGCCATTGCACTAAAAACAGGTCAGGATATTTTTACATCATTAAAGTTAACACCTCCAAGGAGTCACAATCTTTCCTCTCCATGTTTATCTCCTCCTGCATCCTACACCCCCCCATCTTCTTGACTCCTTCCAGGCCCACCAATCCCTCCATTCCCCCCTCCACCCCCCCATTCTCTGCTCCTGCATCCTCCACCCTTCCAACACCTCCGCCCTCTTGAATCTCCATCCCTCTCTGTCCTTCCCATCCTTCTCCAACCGCATGCTTCCTACATCCCCATATGTTCTTTTCTCCAACGTGAGTTTTTAAGTCTGGATCCTACACATCTCTTTTTGTTATTTTAATATAATTATTCAGAAACCCTTTCTCCTCCTCCCCTCTTTCTCCTCTCCCTCCTCGCCTTCTTCCCTCCCTCCTGCCCTCCCTGCTCTTCCTTGCTCATGTCTTCCTAGACCAGCCTGGCTGCACACCAGTCTGGAAACAGTCTCTCCTCCCATCTTCCCTTCTGCTTGACTCTTCCTTCCGACTGGCAGGGCCTTCTCTCCTGGGTGTGTGTGTGGGGGGGGGGAGCTCTCTTCACAGGATTGTGGCTTTCTCCGGGAAATCAGTTCCTCCTGGTTTTTAGAGGCTTATGTATTTATTTGGGGGAATCTTTGTGGACTCCTAAGGACATTCCACAGCCCACTGCCTCCCTGTGGTTTAGCATCTTCCATTGCAGGGGCTCAACCTCCTATCATTGTGCCATGTATCTCTGTGGGTGGTCCCACTCTCCGTCCCAGCCATAGCCAGAGCTACTCCCCTTCGAAGACTCCCTACCCCCCCCACATCCTCTCAGAACCCCAAAAACCGCACCTTTGTCACTCTCACCTGAGGAGGGAAGCTCCGACTTACAAGATTTGCATGTTGGGCTGTAGAGGAAGAGATGAGAGAGAAAAGCATCAAGAGATTCAACAGCCACCAGCTTCTGCAAACCCAGGACAGGCCCAGGACCCTTGGTTTGGGGAATTCCCACAGGCCCCAAGCTGCTCCCGCCCACTCGCCCCCAGTCCCTACTGCTGCCAGACCTCTCGGACCTGGAGTCCGCCTTTCTGCACTTCACCTTCTTGCCTGTGAGGAGACAGAACAAGGACATAGAGGGTGAGGGTACGGACAAAAGCCGGCAGGACCAGGACCGTAGGTACCGCGGAGGGGAAGCCCAGGCAGCCTGGGAATGGGTCGGACTTACTGATGATGATGAGAATGCCCAGCAGGAACAGGATGGTGGCCAGAGTCATGCCCACAGTCTGCACCGTGTCGTAGTCTGGGGAAGGGAACGAGGGACGTCAAGGCAGGGGCAACACCTGGGCCACACCTAGAGTCTCAGTCCTGACTTCAGGCCACCCAGCCAGGGCCCAGAATTCACTGCGTTGGGTGCTCCTCCAGTGGGTGAGTGTGAGGCTGAGAGCAGGGCTGGGCCTCGTGAGCTGCCCTGGGCCTCTCCACTTCTTCCCTGTTTTGGGCCCTCTGGATTCCGTACCCTTAGCTATGCACAAAGGGGCTGCAGAGAGCACTTGCAAGAATGGATTGAAGTTTGGCTTTTGTTTGGTACCAAAACCTTTTTGAAATCCATGCCAAGTTTTTCCTTTTGAAACATTTTTATTTATTTATTTCCGTTTTCTTGCTGTAAGGCACATGTGCTCACCGGAGAGACTGAGAGCAAGAGAAGGAAAGTGAAAAAATCACCTCCCAGGGGAATGCAAATTCCTTCTCCTTTCAGGATTTTGGGCATGCATGCACATGCACCCCGTGTGATTTTCAAGTGTCTGGGTTTGGGACTCGAGCCACACAGCCGGCCATGTGGGGTCTAGTACCTTAACTTCCACACTGCATGCTGGCCTGCAAAGTTTTTTTTTCCTGTACACATTTCTATGTCTGTGAGCTCTTGAAAACCCCTTATACCTAATGGGCTTCTTCTCCTGCCTCCTCCCATTCTGGTCCTGTTCTTGATGGTCACCTGTCCCGGCTCTTGCAGCAATCTTACCTTGTTGCCCAGCCCCACCCCACCCTCCTATAGTCAGGGGGCCCCTGCTTACATCTGAGTCAGACCAGCTTCCTCCTCAGGGCAGCATCCTGCTTGTCTCCCACTGCACTCCCACGATGCCCTAGGCCCAGGGTCTGCCCAGACCTCCTCTCGCTCCATTCTCTCCTCAAGCCTCTATGATCCAGTCACTCTGGCCTCCCAGCTATTCTGAAGCATACCAGGCATGGTCCTACCTCAGGGCCTTTGCACTTGCTGTGCCTTCTGCCCAAAAGCTCTTCCCTAGATATCCACACGGCTCTCTGCCTCACCAACTTCCAGGCTGTATTCCAATGTCAGTGAAGCCTTCTCTAGGAGTCCTATTTAGAATGCTTCATTCTCACCTCCACACTTTCTAATCTCATTCCTTCCTTTACTTTCCTTCGTAAGAATTAGTCTTAGCTGATATTTCTACATAATCAATCATTTTTGTATTTATTTTCTTGAGTATCTGTCTCTCTACCATTGAGTATAGGGTCAAGGAGGGCAGGGCATCTTGCTGGGTCTGCTCACTGCAGTGTCCCCAGGTGTCTGGAACATTGCCTGCATGGTGCATGTGCTCAGCCAGTATTTGCTGAAATACGAATTTTTTTGAGAGGTTTTTGCTATAGGGCGCGTGCGCTCGCCAGACAGAGAGAGGCATAGAGACAGAAAGCAAGAAATCACCCCCCAGGGGGGATGGTCACGCCGCAATCCCTTCTCCTCCATTCTCCTCT